CTGCTTCTTCCACTTGGTCCGCCGGTTCTGGAACCAGATCTTCACCTGGGTCTCGGTCAGCGACAGCGACAGGGCGAGGTTCAGCCGTTCGCAGACGGACAGGTATCTGGTGGTCTTGAATTTATTCTCCAATGCGACCAGCTGCTCGTACGTGAACGCAGTCCTCGCTCTTCTGGGCTTGCCACCGGTGCTGCCGCCGCCGCTGCTTCCGTTCTGGCTGGTCTGGCTCTGGCCCTGGCAACCTTGGGCCTGGACGCTGCTCGAGGACGAAGAGGACGAGGAGGACTGCCTCTTCTTGCACGAGGAGGACTGGCCGTTGTTCGATCCCGCCCCCGGCTCGCGGTCCGCGTTCGAGGACTCCTGGTCGGTCACCCTCATCTCGACGTCCTCGTCCTCCTCCTCTTCCTCGGGGTCCTCGTCCATGTCCTCCATCCCCGTGTCCGGCGTGCCCTCCTCGTCCTCCTGGCCGCTGCCGCAGGCGAACTCGCCCCGCGAGTCACCATCTGCGGGCAATAATGAGACAGAGTATCAGAGACCGTCCATCTAGCGCCGGCCGCGTCGGTCGGGGAAGGTAAGCGATACGGTGTTGCGTGACGAAAATTGATTATACCGGGGATAAAATTGCGCCGCGGGTGTCGGCTTGCTTATAACGGCGCGAGTAACGCGACGCCGGCCGATGTTTCGCGCGCACCCCGTGTCACGCGGCGCGGGGAACGTTGCGGTCGATCCGCCCGGAAATTAACCGTTTATGGCGCTCGAGGAGGCTTGGGGGATCGTTGTCGCGAGGGCGTTTTTTAGGGCAAGCGTTTGGATGGTTTGGATGCTGGAGGTGTCGGTTGCCTCTCTTTGGCGTGGCGATTCGTGTGTTTCAAGGTGTTCGTTGGTTAGAGATCATTTTTGGATCGTTTTACTGTTCTTTTGTATGTTAAACTGTTTAATGCTACGGCTGTTGCTTGAGTTCTTTAATAATCGTGGAATATTGCGAAGGAATCGTTCGCTTCATATTGTTTAGAGAAATTGGTTTGCTGTCTGATCAACAAAGTGGTGGACCTACGTGCAGGTCTATAATTGTGACACGTGTCAATCTGTTCTGGCGGACTCCAAGAGGTCGAGCGTTCTATTCTGAGTCCTTTGTCCGATCATCGGCGCACTGAATCTGCTAAGACAAGCGACTAACATGCACGACGAAATTAATTGTTTCAGAAAGCGTGTAGAACACGCAGTGTTTCATTGCGAGCCTATTACATGTCTGAACAGTAAAACACTGAATCTACTGAGACGCTCCTACCTCTAGATTTGCACGCACGAGGGAATTAACTGTTTCAGCAACATTTGAAGCGATGAAGTATGCCACTGTTACCGTACTGTATGTCCGACCAACAAAGTACTAAATCTGCTTAATGCACCCAGATCTTGCTGATTCGTAACGCGCAAACGATAATTATAGCTCTCGATTCGTGCATATTTCACTCGCTAAATATAGTTCAATACACTTTGCGCAAACTGTTGAATCTAAAAACCAGTTACCAAGAGCCTCACCAATTAAATCTCCCTTCCCAATACAAGCGCCAATCCCCAGCTCCCTCGAACATTCCCAAAACCCTCCAAATATCTCTCTCACAACTACCCAAGAATACTCGACCGCACGATTACCCTTTCCACCTCAACTAACTCAAAAACCACCAGTCCAAAATGTTCCAAGGTCCAGCAGTTCCGCTCAAAGGAACGTCAAACTCCCACGAGAACGCGGCGAAATAACATCCGCGAAGACAGCGGCAGTTCGCAGCTGGGAAACCAATCGAAGCGCGCGTGCGATCGGCGGCGCGAGGTGAACGCGGTTCGGCCGGCGACACTGCGGACAAAGAGGAAGCCAGCCGGTGAAACCGAGAAAGAGACCGACAGAGAAAGAGCGGCCAATCGTTCGCTCAATGAGAGAGGAGATTGGAGATTCAATCAGCACGCAGATGTCCCGGGGACAGATATTCCCTGGCTCCGGTCCGTGGGGGTTGGGGGTTAGCGGCCGTGAAGGGTGGCAGAGAGAGGGACGGGACGGGTCGCCGGATGGATAAAACCGGCGGGCAGAAAGAGAGACAGGTTACCGGGGCGAGATTGAAAGAGACCGGGCGCGGAGAGAGCGATCGGCGGAGGAACAGAGGAAGAAGACGAACGCTCGGGGACGCGCAAGGGAGAGGAAAGACGAGGTTGGCGGCCGCACGCGGCAGAGCAGGAGGGAACGCGCGCGCGGCACGGGGGTAGTCGGGACTTTATCCGAATTGCCGTGGCTCGTGGCCCATAGCCCGTAGCCGAGCACTGTG